GGGGGGGGGAAGAAGACTTAACAACTACAACTCCTTGAAGTTGATACAACAAGCAAACAGAAAGGACATTGTTGGGTGGGAGTGGGGAGAGGGAGGAAGGAGGGGGGTTTTGGTTATGGGCCACAATAATCAACCTCATTGTATATTGACAAAATAAAATTTTAAAATAAAAATAAAAAAATAATAATAAATAAATAAAATATATATAAGTAATTTTTAAGCGTTATGAGAGGTGACATATTTGTTATGCTGAGCAATAAGATTAAGCTGAAATTTTCTTAGGAATTTACTGGCACACTTAAAATGGTGCAAGCTTTAAAACGTTTTTCAAGATAGACAAAGTAGTTCAATACTACATTCCTTGGATAACTAGCCCTCCTCCACCTCCCACCCCCCAAATTGCCGAAAATATTGACTTGATTTGAATGATACTTTTAGGAATCAGTCCCAGATTCTCTAGTAATTATTACATTTACAGTTTATGTATGCAGTAATTGCATTTCTCCCATGCTTCTATTTTATTTTGACATCTATTTTACTCTGTCTTGCATTTTTTTCTCAACATTTTATTATGAAAATTTTCAAACATGCAGCAAAGTTTAAAGAATTTTACAGTGAACATTATACATGCTATATAGATTCCACTGTTAACATTTTTCTTTATCACATATCTATCCATTTATCTATCCCTCTATCTATCTGTCAATTCATCTTATTTTTGTGCATTTCAAACTAAATTACAGATATTAAACTTTCTCTTAAATTCTTCAGCATGAATATTAATTATAGTTCAATATTTGTTTACAGTTTTTTCTTTTGAGATAAAATTTACAAAGAAAAGCAGAAATCTCGAGTATGGATTTGCTGAATTTTCAAACCCAAACCCCTGTCAAGAAATAGAACATTTATCATCACCCCAGAAAATTCTCTCATGCCCTTTTTCTTTCGGTCTCTACCCCCATCCCCAAGAAGCAACCACTGTTCTGGTTATTTTCTAACGTAGATTAGCTTTGCTTGTTGTAGCATGAGGTGCTGTTTTATGTAAGGCATAATTAAGATTCTTCGATATTGTTACATACAAAGGTACTTCAGAAAGTTTGTGGAAAAATAAAATGAAAGTAATACTGATCTTTCCATGAACTTTTTGAAATGTCCTTGTGTGTGATCATTGTATTCTTTTTTAATGCCAAATAGCACTTCATTGCATAAATATGCCACATTTTGCTTATCCCTTCTGTTGATGACCACTTGGTTTGTTTCTAATTTTTGGCTATTATGAATAAAACTGCCGTGAACATTCTTATACAATTTTTTTTGTAGACATTTGTTTTCATTTCTCTTGGGTAAATTCTTTGGAGTGGAATTGGTGGGTCATAAGAGGTATATGTTAATTTTATGAAACTGCCAGACTTTTTTCCAAAATTGTGCTGTTTTACGCTCCCATCAACCATGTATGAGTATTCCTGTTGCTCCACAACCTTACTGGCATCATGTTTTGCTGGTCTTTTTAATTTTAGCCGTTCTGGTGGGTGTTTAGGGGTTTCTGCCTTGTGTTTTAGTTAACTGTTGCATACCTTTCTTCTGCACTTCATGCTCTGCTTTATGAAAATTAGGACAGTCACCTGTACCCCTTTCTAGTGCCTATCACAGCATAGTATGCATGGAATAAATGTAAAACAAGGGCGATGAATGAATGCTTTGACACTTAGTTTTGGGAATTTTATGTGAAAAAAAATTTAGGCGTTACAAATATGTGTAGATAAGTTTGACCAGAAATGTTAAGTAGTCATTTGAATTAAGAATTATTTCTTATACCTAAAACATTTACACTGCCAATTTTTCACAGGTACAAATGATGCAAAATGTGCATCTGGCTCCAGAGACAGATGAAGATGATCTTTATTCTGGTTATAATGACTACAATCCAACCTATGACACTGAGGTAAAAAAATATATATATATGATTTTTTTTTTTTTACATTGGTCTTTGTTAACCAACTGGTTATGAAGACTTTGGATTTGAGGGTTCTGCTTTATTAAGCTTTTGGTGAAATAAGCTGATTCGGAAACCTAGAAAAGTGCTATTACTGAAGATTGTACTAACTCCCACCAATAATAGTAATTGCAGCAGAGGAGAAGATCAGAAGACAGGTTAGGGGAATGAATTAAAATGAATTGTATATTTGTGTTCCTCATCACTAGTTATCTGAATGTGTAAATTAAAAGAGGTAGATCACCTGAAGATACTTAAAATCCTTTTTTTTTTTTTTTTTAGGTCCTTTGAATTTGAAATGTCATGTAGGTTTTTTTCCGCCTCCTAATTAAATTATACAAGTATTTTATAAAGGGCCGGCCCGGTGGCGCACTGCTACAGTGCGCCGCTTGGGAGTGCGGCGGCGCTCCCGCCCAGGGTTCGGATCCCACATACAGACCGGTTCCCGCTCACTGTCTGAGCGAGGTGCGGGCGCAGCACCGAGGTTTGCGATCCCGTTGCCGGTCCTGGTCCGGTACGGGCGCGACACTGAGGGTTGCGATCCGTTGCCAGACACGAAAAAAGACAAAAAGAAAAAAAAAAAAAGTATTTTATAGAAAAAATAGGAAATAGCGATAAGTGTAAAGTAAAATTAAAATCATAGAAACTGTCATCACTCAGAGATAACCATTAACTAACTTAAAGTGCTTATCTCGCCAAACATTTTCTTATGCAAATATGCATATGTATATCTCTATATATTTTTGGATAAAATTATATGTGTGTACTATTTGGTATTGTGTGTACTGTTTTTTGTAACCTGCTTTTTCTCTTTCATGAACCTCTTTATTTCGACAAATCTCTATCTGCTTCACATTTAATGGTATAGTAACTTAAAAGATGAAATTTTTACTAAATCAAATGTGGATATTTTAAATCTGTTTACATCTCTTGCAAGAGTTACAGTTTCCAAATTGTAAAAAACAAAACTAAACTAAACTATTTATAAAATTACTTTGAACTAATGTAGGAAAAAGTAAGGAAGATGCAATTGTTAATTTGCTGCAAGTACTTAATAATCAAACAGTAGCATTTATAGGACTTTAATACTGCAAATCTTATTCTATTCTAGAGTTTTCCATATAGATTTTAGTAATTTTTGATGTTTTTTTCCCTCTGGAGTAAAATGGTGGTGTATGAATTTGAGACTTAAGAAAGAAAATAGAAACCATTCACTTATCCTGTATGAGAACAAATCTAGGCAATACTGATCATTACAGAAAATTTTAAAAATATAGAAAATTGGAGAAAAAAAGAAATAAAATGACATAAATCCTCTTATCCAAAGATCACCTACATTGGACATACCACCTGATGTTTTGTTGTATTCCCTTGTTCTTTAATATATGCAGATGTTTTCCCTCCCTGTAAGTAAACTCACAGATGATTATATAGTCTCCTTTTAAGTTTTTCCGTTGTAACATAAGCATTTTCTGAAGTTGGTATAAATCATGAAAACCACTAAAACACCCTGTTCTCCTAATTGTAAAAGTTAATATATGCTCATCATTGAAAACAAAGTTACAAATAATCCTGTCAATCAGAAATAACTACAGTTTACATTTTGTTGCTTTGTCTTTTCTTCATGCATACATATACAGTTTTCAATTAGCATGTTTGAGATTGAATTAGTATTTACTTTTCTGTTTGCTCTTTTATGTTCAACTATATCATAAGTAATGTCTCATGATACTAAAAAACTTAAATATGATCTTAATGGTTGTGTAATACTGAAAACATACAGTTGATTAGAAATATTTTTGTATCATAAGATATTTCCAGTTTTCTGTTGTTATAAATACATTGCGATAAACAAGCGATAAACAATTTTATGCATAAATAATTTTCTGTGTTTTGACCAAACATTTCCTGGGATAGAGTCCCAGAAGTGGAATTACTGGATCATGAAGATGATCATTTTTTAAACATCAGAGAAATTTCCTATCTTTAGGTTGTCACAGTGTAGCATTTTATGATTTAACTTGAAGGGAATACTCAGAATATCAGGCCCCAAAATAAATTATGCAGCAAAATAAAAGTGATATTTGATTTATCCATGGCTTTCTTTGTTCTTTATCAACCGTAAAAGTTCAATATATAACTGAATTACTTAAAACAGTAGCTTAAGGTGTTCATAAAATATGCAATTTGTTAATTCACAAACAAAAACTTACAAAAGTTGTGTTAGGTTGATATTTGTAACTAGAGAATTTGTTGGCTGTTCTTTTTAATTTGTCATTTAGTTAAAATTTATTGAGCTCATTAATCAAATTTTACTAATAGTTTAGGAATCATAGAAGACATCCTTTTACCAAAAGATCTGCCAAAGTGGAAATACAAATAATTATGATTCATACATAATTGCCTTTGGCTTTATGGTATAAAAGTTCCTAGTTTCTATGGCTAACTAAGAATTGTGTACTTATTTAATTTTATGTAGTTGTTTTGAAAGTTTATAAAGATAATTTGAAGCAAAAATGAAAGAAGAATACTTATACATAATAAAATCATGTTTTAAAGTGCTTTGTGTTAGCATCCTGGTTTTATGAACATTTTATTTTGATTGCTTGCAGATTTTTAAAATGTTAATTGATAGTTTCTCTTTTTTGTGTATTGTTTATATATTTTTTAAATAATAAGCAAGTATGTTTTTGTGCGAAGTAGATTGAACTAAATCAGAAGCGCTTAAGTGTATCTGAAGAGTTAGAGGCAGAGAGTATGTTCTAGAAGAAGTAGGAAATAAAGGCTTATTAAAAGATTGGCAGTTGGTAAAACTAGGTGTTTTTGAGAGAATTTAAAAATGGCATTTTGTCCAGGAAACCCAGGAACACTTGTATCCCTGCCCTCTACTAATCTTCCTTTCCTCAAATTTCATGAGGGGATTTCTGACAGGTCAGGAATTTCCAAAGCAAAATAACATTTTATGTCAACTGAGATATTGGTTTTAAATGGCACTGCAGTTTGGATTTGGTGGAACCTCCCTTTGTCTAGATTAGCTCCAGTCTGAATCTTGGACTTCACCTCTCCAGTGAGATGAAAAGGCATTTTCACTTGGGCAAATGGAAATGGAACAAGAGGAAATATTTGCCCGGTTGTTTGTAGATAGCATGGCCTTTTCTGTTGTGAGGCTTTCTCAGGTAGTGATAGTAGGTGACATGATACCAGCATATGGAAAAACAGAAGGGGGGGCGAGGTGAGAAAGAGGCGAGAGTCTCCATTCTTACTGCTCTAGCCACTAGGAAGAAAGGCCGTATAGTTTTGTGTCCTTGATCTTTAACTGGGCATTATGGTACCAGCCAGCCATTTGAACAGTATTCAAGAAAATGCCCTTAAAATGGACTAGCATAATCAGTACTCCTCTTCCTAGGGGAATATTTTGGGTTGTGTGAAGGGGGGAGATTTGAGGACAGGAGTTCTTGAGCCCCTACAGATGTCAGCAGTTGGGGTGTGATGAATTACAGAGAATCTTGAATACCAAACAGAAGAGTTTAAACTCTTTTTTTGCAGTTCTCACTTCATGCTGAATGTCAAGTCTGCGTTTTCATTTTAGGAATTGGAGAATGACACAGCTTTTCAGCAAGCAGTGAGAACTAGTCATGGCAGAAGACCTCCAGTAAGTGAAATTTTTTTAAAAATTGTGGTTAAAAACGCATATCATAAAATTTGCCATCTTAACCATTTTTAAGTGTTCAGTTCAGTAGTGATAAGTATATTAACATTGTTGTGAAACAGATCTTTAGAAGTTTTTCATTTTACAAATCTGAAATTCTATACTCATTAAACAACAACTCCCCATCTTCTCCCTTGTCCACGAACCCCCTGTAACCACTGTTCTACTTTCTATTTTTTATGAAATTGACTACCCTGGTACCTCACATAAGTGGAATCATAGAATATTTGTCTTTTGATTGGCTTATTTCACTTACTGTAATGTCACCAAGGTTCATCTATGCTGTAGCATGTGACAAGATTTCCTCCCTTTTAAGACTGAATAATGTTCCATTCTAAGTATATACCACATTTTGTTAATCCATTTATCTGTCTACGGGCACTTGTCCATTTTTCTTGTTGAGCTGTAGGAGTTCTTTATATATTCTGGATATAAACCTCTTATATGTATGATTTGCAAATATTTTCTCTCATTCTGTAGGTTGTGTTTTCATGCTGTTGATTGTGTTCTTTGATGCATGAGAGTTTTTTAGTTTGTTGTGGTCCCACTATTGTTGCTTGTGCTTTTGGTGTCATATTCTAGAAATCATCGCCGAGACCAATACCATGAAGCTTTCCCCCTATATTTTCTTCTAGGAATTCTGTAGTTTTAGGTCTTATGTTTAGGTCTTCAATCCATTTTAAGGTAATTTTTGTGTATGGTATAAGATAAAAGTCCAACTTCATTCCTTTGCACATGGATATTTGGTTTTTCCAGCAGCATTTGTCAAGAAGACTGTCCTTTCCCCATTGAATGGTCTTGGCATCCTCATCAAAGATCATTTGACCGTATACACAAGAGTTTATTTATGGGGTCTCTATTCTATTCTATTGGTCCGAATGGCAGTATTATACTATTTTGATTACTGTAGCTTTGTAATATGTTTTGAAATCAGGAAATGTGAATTCTCTAACTTTATTCTTTTTCAAAATTGTTTTAGCTATTCAGGGTCCCTTGACATTCCGTATGAATTTTATGGTGAATTTTTCTGTTTCCACAAAAAATGACATTGGGATTTTGATAGAGATTGTATTGAATCTATATATCATTTTGGATGGTATTAGACATCTTAACAATATTAAGTCTTCCAATCCATGAACACAAGACATCTTTCCATTTATTTGTGTCATCTTTAATTTTTTTCAGCAATGTTTTGTGGTTTTCAGTGTATCCAATCAGTGAAATGATTTTAAAGTATTTTAGATCAAAAGATTTCTTTATGTTTTTGAAAATATAAATATCATTATTTATGTTAATCATTGCAATATGTTTACCTAAAACATTTGTTGTTTTAAAAATATTTCCCTCTCTAATTTTTAAAGTGACATAAATATTGATCCTTCAAATGATTGGGGCTTAATTTATAAATTACCACTCCCTAATATTAATGACCCTCTGTTAATTAATCTTCTACTAGCACATAAATTGCTATTGTGGTTTTTTTTTTCAATATAACTATTAAAATTTTTGTATATGTAATGTAAAGTATCCTCTGGTCATCCTCTGTTTGTGGAACCAGGGGTGATAGTAACTCCTGGCAGTGTGTGTGGCAGTGCTCCCAGAGTGTTGCCAGCTAGGGAAGGTCATCCATGGCTTTGGTGTCCAGAGTTTTTATGGAGGTTCAGTTACATACTGCCAGTGTGGCTGACCTTTAGTCTCCAGACCCTCCTGGAGGTTTGGATTGATACCGCTAGAAGTTGAAAATGATATGATGTGTTCCAAACCGCCCACCATAAATCACAAGGAAAAGAATGTTAGACTGTCCAGTGACCAAAGCCCCCAGGAGAAAAAAGACACTTCTATCAGGCAGGACATTCCAGGGGCCTAGAGATCACCTTCCAGTTGGTAGCCAAGAGCAAAGGCCAGATCTCTCTTTGGGTAAAGTTGATTCTACTACACATTCCACAACCCATATTTTAGTTTTAAGGTGACCTAACTTACCTAGTGTGGTTGCTTCATAAGTTTTTATTGAATGACTTATATCAGTGCACTTTGTCTACAGTTTAGCCTTTTCAGGTATTGGATTGCAGGTGATGATTTTGCCAGGCTGGCTCTTCAGAGATCTTTAGAAGTGGCTTCAGAGACCTTCATTTTATAGATGAGAAATATGAAGCCTGGAGAAGCCAAAGATCTCACAGCTATCTGTTAATAGGGATAGAGTTTGGGTCTCTTGATCCTCTGTTGCGTGATATTTTTATCACACCCTACTTGTTATATGAAATGGAAAAAACTTTTATGAGTTTTATATGAAACTCCTGAACTCTTAAAAAAGGATATAATTCTAGCTAGTTCCTAAGGAAAATAAAATGGACACAAGGCATAAAGCAATGTGTTGTAAAAAAGAGTATGAATTGCTTTGGGACCACAAAGAGAGAAGACAGTGGAGGAGCCACTCGGTGCTGACAACAAAAAACCAAAAAGCATAGATTTAGTCATCAGGTTCTCATTAAAAGAATAATGGTCTCTTTCCCTCAGTTTGTTCTCATGGAAGAAGTTGCTGAGACCCATATCCTTCCTTTTCATTTTTTTCTAAGACTAAGACCTGGGGCCAACCTTGTCAAACATGAATTTTAAGCCACGTGATATGTATAAAATTAAAATACCTTCCTGTAATTAGGCAAAGAACGAATGATGAAAGTTCACCTAACAACTTTATGTGTTAATACCTGTAATTCAGGCATCTGTTTTCCTAAAAAATTAACATATATGAAGGGTCTTCTTAAAGTTCATGGAAAAATTCTTATTATCATTTAGTTTTATTTTTCCATGAATTTTTTGAAGTATCCTCATATGTATGTTTTTCCATATTTTCCCTCTAATGTATTTTCATTATTATTCAGTGCAAAATATTTTCTAATTTCTGTGGTGATTTTTTTTTTTGACCCATGTGTTATTTAGAAGTATGTTTCTTAGTTTCTAAACATACTAAACTTTTCTAGTTACCTTTGTATTACTGATTTATAGCTTTATTCTTAGATAGTCAGGGAACATAATATGTGTGATTTTTTTTTTTTTTTGTCTTTTTTACTGACCGGTAACGGGATTGCAACCCTCGGTGTCGCACCCGCACCGCGACCGGCAACGGGATCGCAACCCTTGGTGTCACGCCCGCACCACGCTCAACCAGTGAGTGGACTGGTCTCTATATGGGATCCGAACCCTCGGCGGGAGCGCCGCCATGCTCCCAAGCGCCGCACTCTACCAAGTGCGCCACCGGGCCGGCCCAGAATATGTGTGATTTTATTCTTAGAAATTTATTAGTATTCCAAGTGCATTTTAAAATAATGTACGTTCTACAATTGATAGGTACAATGTAATAGGTCAAGTATGTTAATGATTTTGTTTAGATGTTCTATATTTTCACTTTTTTTTTTTTTGGGTTTACTGGTTCTGTTATTAGTGAGAAAGTGTGATCAAATCTTTCACTATGATTATGGATCTGTTTTTTGCTTTATGTATTTGGAGCAAAGATATTTAGAATTATATTTGCATGGTAAATTGAGCCTCTTATTGTTTTGATATGTCTCTCTGTTGCTAGTCTAATGCTATTTGTCTGTTTTGTCAGGTATCAATATACCTGTATTGATATAGTTACACAAGATCTTTTTTGTCTAGTATTTGCATTGTGTCTTTTCCATTTTTTTACTTCCAAATTTTCTATATCCATATATTTAATTTGTATCTCATAATAGCAGCATGTAATTGGTTTTTTGTGTTTTTTTTTCAGTCTGACAATCTTATTTTTTTAGTGAAACATTTATTGTTTCTATTTATTTATTTATTTATTTTTAGGGTTTACTCTTTTTTAAAAATTTAATTTAGTTTTTTTTTCTTGAAACATACCTGATTTTACATATCTGTGGGGAACAGAGTTGAATATCAATACCTGTGTGCAATATGTGATGCTCAAATCAGGATAATTAGTATATTATGCAATGTAATTGATTTTCATGGCCCTTTACCAATTCCTCTCTTAACCCCCTCCCCCTCCACTTTTCCCACCTCTGGTGACCTCAGTTCTGTTTTCTCCTTTTGAAAGTTCAGTGCATTATTGTGATTGTTTTATCTTTCTTTTTAAAATTTATTTGTTTGTTATTCTTGCTCCCACCTGCGAGTGAGAAAATGTGGTATTTCTCTTTTTGTGCCTGGCTTATTTCACTTAACATAATTTTCTCTAAGTTCATCCATGCTGCTGCAAATGGTAGTATTTCATTCTTTCTTATGGCAGAGTAGTATTCCATTGTGCAAATATACCACATTTTCCTTATCCAGTCATCTGACAATGGACATTTACATTGGTTCCAACTCTTGGCCATTGTAAATAGAGCTGTGGTAAACATGGTAGTGCAGGTATCCCTTTGACATGATGATTTCAAATCCTTTCGGTATATACCCAGCAGTGGGATTGCTGGATTGTATGGCAGTTCTATCAGTAGTTGTCTGAGGAAACTTCATACCATTTTCCATAATGGCTGCACCAGTTTACAGTCACACCAACAGTGTGGGAACATTCTCCTTTCTCTGCATCCTCTCCAGCATTGTTATTTTCTGTCTTTTTGGCAATAGCCAGTCTAATTGGCATGAGATGATATCTCAATGTGGTTTTGATTTGCATTTCCCTGATGCTAAGTGATGTTGAGCATTTTTTCATGTCTGTTGGCCATTTGTACATCTTCCTTTGAGAAATGCTTACTTAGCTCCTTTTCCCATTTTTAATTAGGTTTTTAAAAAAATTTTAACTGTTAAGTTGTTTGAGTTCCTTGTATATTCTGAATATTAATCCTTTGGTGGATACATAGTTTGCAAGTATTTTCTCCCACTGTTTAGGTTGCCTTTTTTCTCTGTTAACTGTTTCTTTTGCTATGTAGAAGTTTTTTAGTTTGATATAATCCCATTTGTTTATT